TCCTGGGGAACTTAAGGATTTCTGCAGTAGTTTGGCTGAAATTATCATTTTACTGCGCTTTGCTGAGGATAGCCAAGAGAGGGCAGGGCGCAAGGAGACCGTGTCCAGGATTGCTGGGGATGAGACCATAGAGTACAATAAACGCTAGAGGCTCAGCTGGCGCTAGTGTCTACGGGACTTCCGGTAGCAAATTGAAGCAGACAGCATGCAGTCTGCTTTTCCAGTCTTCCTGTGTATTCCTAAGGGAAAACGTGCGTGAATTTTGTCTCTTCGCCGGAAAATAACATGAATAACTTTGGATGATCGGTTGTACCGGATAGTATGTACCTTTATTGGTAATGTGAAAGTGTAATTGCTTTAGTTACAGAATTTTTCATTACCACTGAACGATGTTAAACTTCGCTTTATTTCAGGCTCAAACCTCCATTTCAAGGAAGGTATGTGAAAACGAGCAACGGTTCTAAGCAACCTAACGATCGAAAGGAATGTAGAGTGGGTTCAAAGTTTGCTAGCATTTCGGTGGTGCATATATATTTCAAATATGCCTGTCCTGTCATTGGATGAAAGTGACCCCGTCGTGCCTCTTTACGATCGGTTAAAGAAACGTTCGAACGCAAAAAAAATGAAGGACGTGAGCTACGAAAGGTGAGTGTTCTTATTATTTCCTTTGTCGGGCAGTTTTTTATCGGGCACCTGGTCTCCGGATCATCGTATTTGCAAAGATTTGGAGCGTGCGGGCGATGATTTGAACCCAGAACAAGCATCTTCACAAATATTCATGAGCATAAAGAATAAAGCAGTATTTATTTATTGCAAAATCTGACTATATTACGTGGCTTTCAATTTATTTTGATCATCTGCGTGCACAAGGAGTTACTTATGCAGTGTTACTGCGTAGTTCTTGCCGTCTCTCTTGGTTTTCCACATGTCCTTCGTTCGTTTGGCACGTATATCCCCCACGCTAACAGTGTCCGACAGTGCACATAAATACACGTACGAAGCGGTTTTAACACCGTTTTTTATGCCACGAATTTCAAATAAAAATGCTGTAACTGACCAATTATTTCGTCTGCGTGACTGAGAAATGTTACAATGTGCCTAGTACGTACAAATTATTCGTGATATTTGCTCTTATAATCGGGCACAGAGAGAAAATGCACTCGCTGTTTTCCATAGAAATGCATTACCGGAAATCAATTTCAGACTGCTTGCTGTCTGCTTCAAAATGCAACCGCACACTAGCGCCACCTGAGCCTCTAGCGTTTATTGTAATAACTCTATGGATGCGACTGATGGTCTTTTAATATTTGTCGGGATCAGACTTACGCACTCTCTATGGGAAATGGTCGCGTATAACATTTTCCCAATTATTTTTAGCACATATGGTGAAAGAAGGAGGTTTAAGAAATAGAAAATATACGTAGATTGGACGGGTTCCGGGGCTACGCTCTAGATGGCGCATGTGTGCTCTATCGTCAAAAGCTGGTGGCATAGGGCGAGGGAAGTGTTAATATTTTCTTATTACCTTCCGGATGACCCGTGGGGCGAAATGTGTGTGCACCCGGTTGCATAGATGCGCCTCCGTCGTACAAAATGTACCCTGGCTAGGTGTCACAAGTCGCCGCACGATTCAAAGGGTTCAGCCTCATCCCTTCATCCATCCACCCATCTGTCCATCCATCTATCTATCGTAGTAAGCGCTCATAAGCGGTTGCGGCACTGTAGATCACACTCAAATACAACTGACCATTCTATTCTGTGTTTAACTTGGTAATACCTTTCTGGTGTTTGTCGGCTATCATTGCAAAAATATCCGGTTCAGTTTCATGGCTCCCAGTATATGCGTTCCAAGGAAGTAGAAAGGAAAAAATGTTACCTTCTGAAAACGGACTTATGAAAAGCCCCTTCCGTACTCACAAACTTCGCGTCTCGAAATGACGCGCAATGACACATTATCTGCTTAACTGGGCCATGAACGTAATTTTTGGATGAGATAAATGATTTTATATTGTGAGTTTACTGATCGCATATTGTTTAGTGCGCCAAAAAAAAAAAAAGAAGAGGCACGAAAGTCAAAACACTTGCCTTTCGGTAAAAGCATTCTAAAAAAATAGCGGACTATTTCGTACCTTTTTTTCTTCAAAAGCTTTATACTTCGATGCATCCGCGGTACCCAAAGCACGTCAGCCGGCCCCAGCTCACGCAATGGACACGAGCACTGCTTTTTTTCGGGCGCATGCACTCGGCGAAAATTGGATGAATAGATCGAGGAATATTTGGATTCACGTTCGTGGCCAATGAGTGCCGTGAAGGCACTTATCGTCACATTGGAACGACAAGTGGCATGTTTTGCGTAAAAAACACGATGGAAGCCTGGAGTCATCGAATTTTGTGAAATACTAAGTCACGAGCACGTGATTTCTCACTTTTGCTTTTGAGCTGAGGAGGAAAGCTAAGGGGGGAGAGAAGTTAAAACATAATTTCACGGCCCCTTTAACGATAAGTCTTTGTGTTTAGTTGACTTAGTGTTCAGGCTTTTGTGTAACTTAACGAAAGGGTGCCTTTATAATTTTGCCACCATGTCACCCTATGTAAGCTATGTTGCAACAAACAAGAAAAACAACAACGTTGCAAGCGAGATGTCTGACAACCACTTTGAATGGACCGGTCTCACCAAGCGTTTCACGCATGCGTGACGTCGCCATAAACTGTAGTTCACAGGAGGCAGGCGGCAGTGCACAAGACAGCTCGTGCCGTCTAGTGCTCTTCTCGCGCACACCCGCAGCGGGCTTGTCGGGCATGCAGAACGACTACATACAGTTCCCAGAATGCAAGCCGCCAGCGGCGGCCTAACAAAACATACTGGTGATATCGGTCTGTGGTTGCTCTGTGTCTGTACTCCCGCCCCGTGTTTCCCTTTCAAAATAACTGAAATGTGGATGGATACAAAACAAAATAAATTGTTTCATTGACCAATAATGTAAGGCTAAACTGTACTAACTGTACTGTACAGCTAAAATCTTGAGCACAATTCAAAGTTCCGGCCAACTACACCACCTCATGTTGCATCGGCGGCAAGCATTACGACGTTCTCTACGTTACTGCCAATACGTACATGGAGCACGCCACGCAGCCTGGTGACGGGTTGCTGTGCCAAATGACCAAACTCGTATCAAAGGAAGGCCACTTTTGCATTCTCTGATGTTCAAGCCTTATATGTAAAAACATTTTCCAGTCTTTTTTTTAATCTTTATTCTGAGACTGTTAGGGTTTTCCCCAACACAATAAAAAAAACGCAACTGAAATGTTATACTCTCTTTTCATACGAAGTATTGAATGCTATAATAAAATCTTTCAAGAAAACCATGTTATTTTGTTGTTGTTTTGAGATATTGTTTCTCAGTTTCAGTGAAGAGAAATTTATATCTTTGCGTCAACGCTTCAAAATTGTATTTAGTTAGTTTATGTCATGCTTCCAGCAACGCGTACTTTCTTTAGAGAGTGCAGGCCATGCCTTAACAAAGCATACTGCCTTTAGTGAGTGCACTTTATGCTTTCAGCAAAGCACATTGTCTTCGGTGAGTGCACGCTATCAATTTCAGCATAGCATACTGTCGTTCATAATGTATTTAGTGAGTGAGCGTTATGCTTTCGGCAAAGCACATTGTCTTTAGTGAGTGCACGCTATCATTTTCAGCAAAGCATACTGTTTTTAGTGAGTGCATGTTATGCTTTAAGCAAACCCTACTATCTTTAGTGGGTGCAGGTCATGCTCTCCGCAAAGCATAGTGTCTTTATCGAGCACACGCCATGATTTCCCCAATGCATGTCCCTATCCGAGCATTATAAAGAGGGTAACTATGATGCCACGTATTAAAATAAGTCACAAAGTAATACAACAAGCAGCTGTTTGCCCCGCGTAAACAACCCTTGCTAGCGACCCGATAATATAACAAATATGAGTACATCAGTGCACTAGCTACGTCACAACAAGCACTGAGGACGTTTAAAAAAGTCCTGCAATTCTGAAACACTCAGTGAAACTTCTGTAAATAATGATTGTTGGGTTATTATGAAAAACGATTTAATTTTCCTTTTAATGCTTTGCTGGGGCGGTTACTGAAAATACGAGTTCTATGTTCTGGCACACAATGATGATAGGAAAGAAAACTAGCAGATGAGTTTAAGGTTTTTGTAATGGAATGATGTGAATTCTATATGAGCAGTTACTAAGAAACTCCAAACTCTTCTTATAAGCACTGCGGCTCATCAGAATGACCCCCAAAGTTGTATGCAAAATTAATCTGAAAGAGACGTTGAAACACAGATATACTTCGCATACTTTTAGTTAGCTTGCCTGTGTCATATTTACATGATTATCACATATTTAATAGGACAACAACTTTTTCGCTTCCTGCTTTTTCTTAGAAATATTGTAAACTTTTTTTATGAGAGGAATATTGTTGTTATTTTTTTAAAGTTGTGATGCGTTTGATATAAACAGGTTTCGGTATTCGTTTAGCGATTAATGTACCATATTGAGTTGCACTGCAACCGAGGAACTCCTCTCGAAATACTTTTTAAGAGCAGAGTGTGACTAAGAATGTTCATCCTTTTTCCTCCATAACAAAACAAAAAGAGTCATAACCCGCATCTTATTTGAAGAATTCTGAAAAGAATTTGTTGTCCGTGTCGCTTTAAACATTTTAACCGTTTGTAAATATTTTCTTCCTCGTGCTAGATCATTTGTAACGTATCAGCGCGATACTTTTATAAGTTTAAGTTTCGTGCACATATTGTATTGTATCGACAATCCTCCCCTTTCCACCATTATTATGTTCGAGTACCTTTTAGGAATGGAGAAATCTCAACAATGCAGACAATGTAGCCATCGCTGCTCATGTTGATTTAGTTTGGTGGGCCCACAACTGGTATCTGATATGGCGATCAGCAAATAATAAAGTGAAGTGCCTAAGTGAGGTCAAAGATAGCGGTCGTTCATTCCGCAGATTAGCTACTCAGAGAATAGCCAGACATCGTTACATCTGTGGCCAAAAAACGGCACGTTTTATTCAGCAGACGTGTCTCACAGGTGACCCAAGATGAAGGTTAAACCAGCAGGAAAGCGCGTCAGCGTGGTCGGCGAAGGACCTCATTGGGACAACCGCAGCTCCACACTCATCTATGACGACGCTAAAAAGTGCGAGATCGTAAGGTTCGATCCACAGGCCAAGTCTGAAAGTGTTGTTGCCAGTCTCGGTAAGTTTCCGTGTTTCGTATTTCCGCCACTAGGCCGCGAAATTTTTCGCTGTACTTTTCGAGAGGCACCATCTCCGCACTTCTAAAAGTCACGTTGTTACCGCTATGTGGCGTCGCCTCCTCTGGAGTTGAGAAAAAAATATTTTTCTTCCCTAAGTAGCCTACCACAGTGAACTGTGACCTCCGAGAACCAATTAGGAACTGGGAGTGGATACCACAGTACTGAATGACCCACAGTATCCTGCGGTTAATCACAAAATCACCTGGTTCAGAAGGCGCTGCAGGCGGCCGGTTAGAGGCGGCCTGGCTGTAGGTTAGAACGCACTGTATATTTTGCAATATTAAAGTCGGAGGAATATTTTAGATCACTCTGAACTGGCAAGGTATACCACTTTATTTCTCTGGGTGAATTTTTATACTATTGTTACCTTTCCTGGGACGATCGTAGCGGTGGTTACCGTTCCATTTCCACAGTCGTACATCACAAAACCCCATACTTTTTACTAGTGAAGCGGACACACAATATTACTTAACCTACTTAACTTTAGCTTCAACTTTGACAAACCGGTTCAATCCAATCCAGAAGAACTATCCGCAACAAATCCGGTTTCTTAAAATCAGTTATATAAAGACCTAAACGCTAGTGTCTTTAGGTAAGTAGACCGTTCCACCACAGTAACACTTGTTTCAACAATCCTAAAGAGAGCATTCACAAGCAGGGCTGTGCAGATTTTATGCATTGAACGCGGAAAGCGTCTAGGAACCCTCACGACGCCCCGCCATTGTTCCAGATGGCCTGATCGGAAATGTGATTCCGTACGCCCAAGACAACCGCCAGCTGATGGTGTGTATGGAGAGGGGCGTCTACAGGCTGGACACCGACACCCTGCACCAGACTCTTCTCGCTGAGCTTGTCGACTCTCCGGAACCTACAAGGTTCAACGACGGAAAGTGTGACGCAGCGGGGCGCTTGTGGGCAGGTGAGGATAGCATAACTATAATAAGGTTGAGAGCTGGGCTAGTTGGCAGTGGATAAACATAACGAGATAAAACCGCGCTAGAAGGGCTAAAGGGAGCGACAAACCGGACAGAACAGTGGAGGAAGAAACTGCATTGGAGCAGCGTCAGTGGCATTGTCTAGTAAGGAGATGGAATTCCTCAAACTGACAATGAAGGTCCAGCGCGCGCCGTAATGCTTTAAATATCATGCGCAAGTGTATATGTGAAAGTGTGGAATAATGTGTCTTTTATTTTTTCCTTTTCTATCAGTAAAAATACATAGCTGTGAGTCAGCGCTCAGTCCTGTCCGGTTTGTCGCTTCGGCACATTGTTACTTAAGACCCATGTTGTCGTAAAACAATAATCTTAAAACTCCGGTCTAAAAACATGCTTTTCCTGTAAAGCTTGTCAAATTATGAGGCGCTGGAAAAAACCAGACTTCTGCGTTAAGTCCTTATTTAGAACTCTTTTTGTTCGCGTTCCGCTCTTGAAAAACATACGGGAAGGGCCTCAGCACGCACCTCGAATCGCTGCGCCGCAGTGTTCTTCCGCAGCATGTGGGTCGTCTGCTTTCATCGCCGTCACCATGGTAACGAACGCCGATTTTCCGAACGCCGTCTGCTAGCGAAAGTTTAATTGTTTTGTAATGAGCAGCCGCAGACTGTCGCCGGGAAAGGGCGGGGGGGGGGGGGGGGGGGGGATAACATGCTCCATAGTGATACACACCCCGTCCGAAAAGGTGATTCGGCGTTCGTTGCTATGGTGACGGCGATGAAAGCACACTGCCTTTTTGTTGAGGAAGAACGGTAATAATCATTCTCATAATTATTGTTTTAGCAGGAATTGCTTAAAAAGTCCAGAGTTCACAACAACAAAAAGCGGGATTTAGCTCGGAGTCAACGGGGCTGGTTACAGCATTTTTAGCGTTTCTAACTTAATATCAGCGTCTTTGAAGCTGTATGAGAATAATAATAATGCAAGAGAATTCTGCAGCTCGTCCAGGTTGAAAGTTGGACAGCATGCAGAGTATCGAAAACGCTGGCATTGACGAGAAATTTTAAAAGTGATATGACTGGTCCTTGGGAGCTGTACGATGCTTGTTTGGGGTGACTCCGAATTACGCCCGGAATTGTGCCTGGAATTGTGCCCGGAATTGTGCAACCATGGAATTGGTCAAAATTACCGATCACAAGGGATCTGAACGAACACCGTTCCATGATTCCTCGAGTGCGGGCCGGGGCGCTTGGGGGACTGAGCAAATGGTCTATTCCAGGTTCGTGGATTTTTGGCAAGCTGTAGAATGCGGGTGTCGAGCCGTTTCGGCAGATAATATCCAGGTAAAGGGCCCGAAAGTCCGGACATCTATTCAAGGCAGCTTAAAATGCTTTGTTTAAGATTCCTTAGATTTTCGATGTCGGATCTTTCGGTAGCATCGTGTACGCTGGGGTGTTCAGAAGTTCGTTCACCTTCTTCTCATAGACCGCGCGGTTCAACACCACTGTGTTATTTCTTTTGTAAGCAGGGAGCATTACGATGCTGTTGTCTTCCTTTAGCTTCCTGAGGGCGGACCCTTCTTATGTGCTACAGTTGAAATGCCTCATTTGGTTTACGAGGGGCTACGATATGCGCAACACACACAAACAAAAGAAAACAATACTGACAGAAAAGAGAATTCAACAAAGACAGATTGCTACCTTCGGTCCCACATACAGTCACCCGTTAACAAGCAGCCGAGTTGACTTCGAAACATCGGGCACATTGAAGAAATTGGTTTAAGTCTACTAAGTACCCTTTCTTAGTACGTAGCGCTGAATGGTCGAGAGTGCCTGGTCCAAGAACAAACTACGGGCTTCAAATTGTACAGCATACACAACCAACAGTACTAAACTTTTCTATTTCTTTACTCGTTCCACGTTGTAATGTTTGCTGCTCTTCCCCCCCCCCCCCCTTTTTTTTTATTGAATATGTGAACTCTGTGGTTAAGAACTAGAGTAAACATAAAGGGTCTAGAGCAGCAACGGCGGCAGAGGGTACCACGAGTCTGCAGCCGCGGTTTCCTCTTGTTTTTCAGGAACGATGCCCAGGATATTGAATTTCCAAAAGCTGCCGCAAGGCGGACACCATTTGTACAGCTACTCCAAAGGAAGGCTGAGTCTGAAGGCGTCCGAAATGTCGCTGTCCAACGGGATCGCCTGGACGTCCGATAACAGGACCATGTTCCACAACGACAGCTTTCCCGGCAGGACGTCCGTCTTCGACTTTGACCTGGACACCGGGGCCATCAGTGAGGGCGATGCCATTATACAGCCATTAAACAAGACACGCTTTAGAGTAGCAACGATACTTCAGCCTTCTTGGTGCTGAAAGAAAAGTACGGCTGCCCATTATCTGAAGCTTTATTGAAACCGCCAAAAACATTTCCCTTTCTAAAACGATGTTAAAACAGTCCGCGACGGAGAAAGACGACATTGCCTGAGCTTTCTAGAGCCATATCTAGGGCTGAGGAAGTCCCTTTTTTGTTTGCACTGACAGCGTGATACCCTACTTATGCGGCCACCCTCTACTGTGGTTAAGTGTGACGTAGGTTGACCTAACTGCGGTTAAGTGTGCCCGGGTAACCAGGGTATAGTCGGGCAATCTTAGCGGCTGTCAATTGCCTGACGTGCAGTAACTCATTACTGCGGTTAAGGGTGCCCGTGTAGCCCGTGGCGAGTACTATACATCTTGTTCTCAACTCTTTGCCAATGAGATTTCGGCACTCGCCGATAAGAACCTTGATGAACGAATCGCGCAGCAAGGAGCGTGCACATGGTACGCAGCCATTGCGCACGCTCTGCGCTAAGCACCACAATGGCGTTGAGCACGATACAGTCAGGGAATATAATGCCGATACTCTAATACCCCTGTTACACGGGCACACTTAACTGCAGTTACGCTAAACCACAATTAGCGCACAATACTTGCCGACAACATTCTGCGGCGATGCAGTCAGAGCTACGGGCGAACGTGCGCTTGAGCATCTTCAGCACCCATCAAAGCAGTGCACGCGCTCTCTTCACTTCTTTTGATATAGCTGTCCGAGGGTATAGTGCGGCATCTGTGCTGCCACGTAACCGCAGTTAAAGCTGGGTTAACCGCGGTTAAGTGTGCCCGTGTAACAGGGGTATAAGCGTGGCTCATGTAGCGGCTCTAACTTTGACTACTGACTTCATTCATTGGTCTATGTTGCAAGACAAGTATGAAAGACAATGACTAATGGTTACCTGGTTCTCAGTATTAGCGTGATATAAACTTAGCGGTTGCACTTAGGTATTCCATGGATTTGGTCTGGTCTTTTAGGTTGTATACGATCAGCGCCATAACTTTTTGTTTAAAACGAAGACATGATGCACGGTTTCGATAACACTTGCCATGCTGTCGAGAGTTAGACTTCTTGCTACAACAAAACTTAAAGCAATGCAGATTTTTGTTTTCATATAGTTAATAAAACACCGTTTAATTTTAATCAAAAGTTGACACTAATTACTGCATAGCCGTCACGGTGACAAATCAGGTAAGTTTTTTTTAAAAAAGGTCCTGTTCAGCAGTTTACATGAGCTTTTTTCTTCAGGCAACCGCAGGGTCCTCGTCGATTTCAAGTCCACCCCTGAGTACCAGGACCTCGGGATTCCCGACGGTATGACAATTGACGTCAACAACAAACTATGGATGGTTTGCTTCGGCGCCGGCACCGTGATTCAAGTGGACCCCGAGACAGGTAACACGGCCAGTCCAGACTTCTTTTTGACCCTGAAGTTACGGACGAGAAAATATAAGCACCCAAACTCTCCTTTTTCTTACCTCAGTTTATTTGTGATCCACTCGTAGAACATTATTTACACATACATATCCATCGGTCCATGAGTGTATCAAATAGATAATTATTTCGTTATCTATCTGTGGTCGCTTACAGCTTAAGGAATTCAGAGTGTGGCTGCTGTCAGTAAATACAGACCCGTAGAGTAACGCCAAATATTTTCTTTAGTTCCACGTACCTTTCCGAAGCTTTCTTTGTGTTTCTAAACTTTGAAGTTCGGCACAAAGCCCAGTCTGACATTTTTCTAACGATAACCGCTCTATTCATAATCATGCTGAGCGCAGAAGTGGGTGATTAGCTATAATTTTCTGTTCCTCTTATTTTTCCCCTCTTTTATTGTAATTGTTTTCAACAGCTGAAATCCTGGCCAGGGTGCAGCTCCCTACCAAGTACACCACATCCTGTTGCTTCGGCGGCGAGAACTACGACGTTTTATACGTCACTTCGGCCAGCCTCTTTTCCAGTGCCCCGCTACCTTCCGACGGATTGCTGTATCAGGTTACCGAACTCGGTGCGAAGGGAAAAGCACCTTTCGAGTTCGCAGGTTGATGGACCGGAGAGAATTCTCTTCTGCGTGGTGCACCGTTAGGGAAAAAAAATCCCGTCTTTAAGTACGGAAAATATCCCTGCTAAACTTGTTGCCACAAAAGGTTCGATATTACTGAATTACAGAACACGTAGAATGATTCCTTAGTACGGGACATCTTGTGGCAACAAGTTTAGCGTGCACGTGTCCCGTACACCATGTTATACAAGTTGTATTTGCTGCTAGCTACGGGAAGTGAGCCATCATGTTCGAAAACAACGTATGTTCTGTTGGAAACGATGTCGGTACATGTTCCACTTTTACATCTTACTGCACACTCACCATTTTGTGCAAGGTGTACCCCCGAAACATTTGCTATTTCTACTGCAAAAATAGACTGAATTTCCGAGTGCTTAGTGTGCACTCAGATTTAAAGGTCCGTTCACACTCTTACAACCGAGTACGACCGAGAGAGACCAGACTGGTTTTTAATCCTCTTGCGTCCTCTTAGGACCGGATGCGCTGCAGCGGGGCTGGTCCTAAGACGTCGCAAGAAGCTTAAAAACCGGTCTTGTCTCTCTCGGTCGTACTCGGTTGCAAGAGTGTGAACGGGCCTTGACGCAAGCAGTCTGGACCATATGACGAAATTTCAGAGCTTGCTGTTATTTGATTAAAATGTTATAAGTAGGGTTCTGCGTTTTCGGTTTCTATTTTTTCGAAATTCGGCATACTTTTTTCGGCGTTTATTTTAAAATTCAGTTTTCGGTTTTTTCGGCGCACAAAAGTGTATCGGCTTTTTTTCGGTGAATATAAAATAAACACCAACGGACGCCGGATCAGATTATCCTTTTTTCTCTTGTATTTGTGATCACTCAAAGAATAATGGCACAGATATATTGAAAAAGAAATGGCCACTTTATTTGGCAAATTTGGCAAAACTAAAAAAGAATCAAGAAAAAAACGCAGAAGTACAAACAAGTCAGATATGAAGCTTATGCCCCCTAAAAATATGGAACTTCACCTTCTGTATATCAGGATGACGTGATCTTATTATTGTACACACACATGTACTTTCCCGGGTTCTTCTCCTTGATCCGCACTCTTTCTTTCCTGTTAATATGACCCTGAGCTTCGAGAATGTCCTCTCAACGCTCACACTGGATACTGGCAGGCTGAGGAGATGAAGCGCTGCCTGAGCCGAAATCGGCCAATCAACCAATTGTGACTGACACTGACCGCCAAAAGAGACATGGTGGGGCGTTTTGAAGCACAACATAACATGCAGAGCTTGGATCAAGTCAGCCTTTTCTTACAACGAGTACATGGCGAAGTCATGGGGAATTTCGGACTTCACGTTCCTATCGATCATGCGCACATTAAACCAAAACGTCGTGATGGCATCCGTGTATCCCATACATTCGGACATGTTTCTATAGACACTGTCGTTCCACTTTTTCGCCACGGCTCTGCGGTACGACTGGAAGGTTAAAGTGATCTTTTCCGGTTAAAACAGAATTTTAAAAAATGGATTTGACGTACTTTTATCGGTTTTTAACGGTTTAAATTGAAAAGGCCGAACCTAAAAACTGACCTTTTTCGGTTAAAACCGAATTTTCGAAAATGAATTCGGCGTACTTTTATCGGTTTAAACTGAAAACTCCGAACCCTAGTTATAGTTACTTTCGGAAATTTTTAGAGAGGGGAATGGCTGGCCACGAATGCATGGAAGTGAATGGCGTAAGTCTACTTTCCCACTGAAACTTTACGAAAATCACTTATAACTTTCCAATAAGATGACAAGTTTTGAAACATTGGCATCTGGTCACGACTGCTATACTCCGTTTCACCTTACGTCCGGACGCAGCGGACGCTATACGTGCTATCCAAGCCAATCCAAGCCAATCCCGCTCTGTGGACGCAGCTCATGATACGCTTTTCGCGCGTCGCTCTGCCCCCTCTCTAAGGTCACGTGACACTCACACGGCCTTGGATTGGCTCCTACGGCTCGTAGCATCCGTTGCGCTCGAACGTAAGGTGGAACGGAGTATGGCGCTGCATTTGAGCGGAGACTGAGCGTCTGGCAATGCATAGTTCATTTTTGCGATAAAAAAGAAACAAAAACAAACACTAATGTTTCTTAGGAGACACGCTGTATCATATTGGACAGGTTTCGTGAGTCCAATTTTGCAACATGTACCATTTTGAGAGGGTATTTTTATGCTCCTGATGTGTCACACATGCATGCTCATATAGCTGGTGAAGACGAAGTTCCTTATGGTGTGGATGCCTCAATTTTTTTTTTGCGAGGAACTTCGGGGATCGCCTGCATTATGAACAATTCTTGTGTCCTCATGATATACCCATTGCAGTGAACATAATGTGATGGAAAACGAAGTGTTTATAGCCTCAAAATTCTTATATTTTATTTCGAAAATGAATAGTGTACCAGCTGAGTAGATAGAATGGTATGCAATCAATATATATGACCTCCCTGGAAAATAAATTGCGAAAAAACCCGTCATAAATATTAAACAAACAAAGCCTCTTGCTCAATACTGAAATATCCATATGGGGATAAGTACTGTTGATAAAAAATTTAATAGATAAATAAAAATATATAACCTATAGTCTGTCACGGGTTAAAAAAAGCGGCCCAAGGCGCTCCCATAAAGCTCTTTGGTCAGTTTGATTCTAGTTGTGTCCTCCTTTCCACTCGCCTCCTTTCCAGCATTTGCTCTGCTCAAGAGGAAAGAGTGGAAGAATTTGTAGGAGGAGCCTTTCATGTGTTTCTTACGTTGTAACACACTGTAGTGATAAACTCGTCTGCCGATTCTCCTTGACCATCAAAAGTTCTTGAGGCCCTTCAACCTTACGGATGCACCAGGGCCACCTTCCGGGAAGACCTCCGGGACCCCTCCTCCGTGTTCATGCCCACGAGTCGTCTGCAAGAAATGTTATGTTAAAATGTAAGCAGACTTGCACCGTACGCATTACGAGTAATCAAATTACTTGTAATCAATTACTTGTTGCAGTAATTTTGTAATCAGTTGATTACTCTTATTAGGCAGTAATCACAAGAGTAATCTGATTACTTTTTGAAGTAATAAAAATTACTTCTAATCTTTACTATTTTTCCACGAACCCCCCCTCCCCCCCCCTCCCCCCCCCCCCCCCTCTCCGCACACAGCTTTTTTTTTTTTTTCTGAAATGACAAAAATAAAATTTGCTTCGTTTTTCGAAATGGGAAAAAGAACGACTTTTTGCGGAGCTGTAGGAAACGAGGTCAACCCCTTTGTATGTACAGTACGGCATTAGTTAATGCAACAGCTCAAGGACCACCCATGCTACGGGGAACCAGAATCGAGACGCCAAGATGACTGCGTACTCTTCCCCGAGATAGATTTCTTCAACTTTTCTGTGCCGGCGACGACTAACGGCAGTGGGGAGGTGCCCCGGTACTTAACTTCACAGGACGATACAACGGACCTCCTGAAGGACTTCCCTCGCCTTCAGAAAGTGTTCCTCAGGATCAACACTGCCATGCCATCCAACGCGTCTGTTGAGAGGGTTTTCAGTGTAGCAGCAGACATATTCACAAGAAAACGTGGGAAAATGAGCGACGCAAACTTTGAGGAACAACTTTTGCTTAAGCTTAACAAGATCTAAAACCCTCTCCGCCCCCCCCCCCCCCTTCCCCTCCTCCCCTCCAACTGGCGAACGCCCATATCATTAAACTTCTTCAAACGAATTCTATGCTTCTGTCCGCATTGTGAAGGTGCAACGACCACGAAGAGGGAACCCGTTTTTTCTTCAATACTTGTGAAAATTTGAAATATAGGTTGGAAGTAGTTCATTGTTATGAGCGATAAAGATGTAAATCTTCACACAATGAAATAATCGGAAAAGTAACGGTTACTTCTTAAAGTAGTGTCCGATTACTTTTGTTGTCGAGTAATCGAGTAATCTAATCGAATACTTCTTAGCCAAGAGAAATAGTAATTGTAATCGATTACTTTTTTTAGTAACGTGTACAAGACTGAATGTGAGATAGGTTTAGTTACAAGAAAACGTATAAGCTTTTTAAACTTATACTTCTTTATTTAGTGCTCCTACCTGAACAAACTAATAAGCTTTTCATTTATTTATTTATTTATTTATTTATTTATTACATATTCAAGTATTTCAAGTATATTCGTCTGGGTTGGCCTGTTGCATCCTCTGCCAATCTTGTTATAATGAATCTCTGATCTCAAAAAACCTCCCTAAGTCGAACATCTCCTGAAATAGGTTAGGCTCAGTGAGTATCGACATAGCATATGCCCTGTGTAGTAGTTCCGAGTGTGGCAGTTAGTGCTTGTTTATTCCTAGACAGCAGGTTGAAGAGGCATGACCAGGTGCTAGGTTTCAGGCTCGTCGAAGAACGGAAGTCGCAAGCTCTCATGTCCGAACTCTGGCTGTGCTGAAGAAAACGACGATCGTCTTTTGCAGTCATCGCATTTCCTTCCCTCTTACGCCGTATTCACAGTGGCGGTGTTGAATCGTGTTCGAAAAGCGGTTGCGAACAAGGACCCAATACAATTTCACGTGCGTTTGATGACAAAAACAAGCGGAACCGCTTTGTGGTTGCCATACGAACGCCAGTGTGAATGCACCTTTAGGAAGGCCTGTAACGGTCAGAATCGAGGCGGCTGCGATCGAGTCGGATATCTCTTGTTTGTTTCTGGCAGCACGGGGGAGCCCGCAGGAACTTGCATGTTGGTGGCCTTCAGCTGGGTGTAAACCTGAGAAGGCCCTGGCACATTCATCGGGGACATTGCAGTTTCGGTATCGATGGATGTGAACCTTTGTTTCAGGTGATCTGCATGAATCCGACGGGTTTTGTTATCTTCATCTGATACCTTGTACATGACGTTACCAATTCTTCCTGTGACGACGCCTTGTATCCAGTGTTGTTTGTAGAGAGGATGCTTTACACACACTTTCTGCCTCATCGTCAAGTTAGCGGTTCCTTCGTCGGTTTTTATCGGTTTAAACCGAAAACTCCGAACCCTAGTTATACCATAGTCTCCTATATACTCACAAAGCCTGGCAGATCGCCACGAGAAGCGGCCGCCGAAATGGAAAAGATGGAGCGTCAGACAACAGATGAGAGGAGAACCACGTGACTGGCGCCCCGCTGCGACGAGACGCCAAAACACACTTCTCCCGAGCGAACAAGTGTGTTTCGGGTCCTCGACGCTGTAAAAGCTGTGGGCTGACGTCCAGGCTCCCCGAGAAAGGCTCTTTGATGCTCTGTGCTACCAGACCCTCGCGCTCCAAATCTACTACCGGGCACTCTATGGCTCCGTCGCCGAACTGCCAGGCTATTTTTTCATATTTTTCCAAGAGAAAACATTTGCGCAATTAGACGTAACTAGGTGGGGGTCACAACCCACCCTAAGTCCCGCCCACAAATCAGTGGCCCCTAACATTACTACTGGACTGGCCTGGCTGCTCGACCGAGCAGGCTGACAAGCGTAGTGTCTTCCTTTCGCGTCATCCGGTGCGTCTAGTCTGGATGTCTAAATCCGGGGTCACAGTGCTCATGCTTCATACAAAAGATAGTCTGCAAACGCAACTTCTCTTTTCCTTCTTTTTTTTTTTTTTTTGTATGAACACAAGAAAATAAAATATCATTGATTTCAAATAAAAATTGACAGTGGTACGTGGAAAGTCCTTAGTTAAGGCATTAACGAAATGACAAATTTTGAAACAAATTTTTTTTCAAGCCCCCTTCCTCCCTTCTTTTTGAACCTTAACTAATCAAGGTTTCCGTTTCAAGTAATGAAGTAATCCGTTTTCCAGAAATTAGACTGAACTTTAAGGCAAAGTTGATCGAATTCATCACGAAAATCACGCGAAAAGCCTGTAGTGACGTCAGACCGTTGTCCGCTGACTCCTGTCTGGTGACAAGTCATGAGTGCAGAACAACCTCCTCCCGTAAAGTCCTTCACTCTTCCCAATTTAGCAGAGCGAACGCTGGACAGGAGGCGAGGAAGGACTCGCCTGCTCTTTTATTTTGTTAAAGTGGAAAAAGGAGAGGGGTATATGGGAGAAGCCTGTCCTGTCTTTTAACCTGCAACAGACTATGGGACCAAACAGTACCTATGCCGTTGCCTCTATTGAAAGACTAATATCGTTATCATTTTATGTGCATAATTAGCAAAGTATAATGAGCAAAATTTAAAGAAATGATCTTCACTGCAGTCGAATATGCGGAGTCGTTCGTACGCTTCGTCTCTTTTTGTTGGAATTGTAGAAAGAAAGCGTCAATATTCATTTCTGATTTAGAAACAAAGGCATAAGCAAGTAAAGTTATGCGTTTCTTCATGGTTCGCCGATTTTTTTTTTTATATAATTTCCTTTATTCCAGCCATCAAGGCTAAGCACTGCCTTAAAAAGGCTCTGGCTACGTCACTACTTCCAAAGGTTATACTGTCAGAAGACAAGGGACTGAAAGCAGCCGGTGCTGGTTTCCATTAGTGGTAGGACGTTGTATCCCGGTCTTCGACAAGCCACACCTCTGATAAGGAAGGAAAAGTAAATACTCAGGATTTGAAGGGGTAAATACGTCGGCAAATAGGCTGTCGATTTATACCTCAGTGCCTTCTTTTAAGGTAATTTGTGAACCGTTGAATGTTGTTCAGGAGAAAGGTGGGTAAGCTCAATGAACCTAATTTTTTGTATGCATGGCACAGCTGTAGCGGAAGGCTGGTAAACCATAGACATATGCCGCTGTTCGAGGATGAACACACGAGCGCCATATTTTTATTCTAGTTAAAGATAGGCCTCGGGTTCTTCTCGGCTAAAGAGTAGACACATGGTCGCTGCAGACGTCAATCACAAAATTGCTGAACTATTTCTTCAGTCTGCTTGTCCTACGAGTAGTGGTATATACCACAAGTGAAAAACAAAAATAGCAGAAGAAAAAAATATTATGAGCTGCTTTATCATAGATCGGAAACCGCACGACTATAGCAATGTAACATAGCAAAAAAAAAGTAATGAAGATGAAAACAAAAACGTCAAAGAGGTTAACTGGAAGGAACATCTGATTTAACACAAACGTAGAAGTGAGTAGATAGACAATTATTGTGACGTTGCTCCAAAAAGAATCTTAATAGCCCACAGCGGTGGTGCAGTTTCACAATGACGTGAGATCGTTAAGCATATTTGGCACACAAAATTATGAATTTCAATATTATCCAGAAAGAGAACAAATATTGCATTATGGAAAGCAGAAGTAAGGTTGGGTGTATTGTATTTTTGAATAATAAAATATTTTCCAATGTCAGAATTTCAAGATTCCGTTGCGAGTCAAAGATGCACGCGGTAAAATGAAAGAACCTCCTATTACTATTTTTTTCTTTAAAAGGGGGGGGGGGGGGGGGGGGGTCTACGCTCATGCTGGAAGTATTGTATATCTTTATCGTGCAGTGATCACGTGCTCCACATCTTCTCGAGCTTCGCGCTGAACGCCGAGTCGAGTGAGCAAACAACGCGTTAACGTTTTAGTTCGGAGAAGTTTTTGTGATAACCCCGACCTATAATACCTATCGCGTTGTTGCCACGAGCATGACCTGCAAAAAGAGAAGGGCTCCAACTGGAGATCCAGCAAACATCCAGAGCACAGCTGCGTACCATTCTATTCATTGTCTCTTTATTTTATTTTCGTGCAAAAAGGAAAAAGGGACTGGCGTGGGGGTAACGCCCTTTCAGGCATCATGTGACAAGTTATTTGTTACACTGAATGGTTCACGTGACGCCTAGTCCCCCTTTCCCCAACCCATACTTTTACGAGTTTCCAAACTCCGCCAAATGTTTTACAAAGAGTTAGTGTTCCATCCAATAGCTATCGAACATAACTTTGAAAAGCGTCAGGTTGGTTTCCGATTCTTTTCCCATGAAGAGTTGCCTTTTGGGAAGGAAACCAAGCGAGTAGGGCCAGCCACTGCGACAATTCGGCCGCTCGCTGTGTCGGCAAAGTACGTGATCA